CATATGATCTCACTGATATGAGGAATTCTTAATTGCAGGAAACAAACTGAGGGTTGCTGGAGTGGGGGGTGGGGTGGGAGGGATGGGGTGACTGGGTGATAGACACTGGGGAGGGTATGTGCTCTGGTAAGCGCTGTGAATTGTGCAAGATTGTTGAATCTCAGATCTGTACCTCTGAAACAAATAATGCAATATATGTTAAAAAAAAAAAAAAAGAAGAAGAAGGTAGCAGGAGGGGAAGAATGAAGCAGGGGAAATCGGAGGGGGAGACGAACCATGAGAGACGATGGACTCTGAAAAACAAACTGAGGGTTCTAGAGGGGAGGGGGGTGGGAGGAGGGGTTGGCCTGGTGGTGGGTATTGAGGAGGGCACATTCTGCATGGAGCACTGGGTGTTATGCACAAACAATGAATCATGGAACACTTCATCTAAAACTAATGATGTAATGTATGGGGATTAACATAAGAATAAAAAAATAAAATTTAAAAAAAAAATCTCTCTTCTGAATTATAATAGCATAGCTATAACTATTTCACAAAACCTTGTTTTGTATATAATGTTTTCTTAGTTACATATCTTAATATGTCTTCTCTCCCCTACTTGACTGAGTGTCCTGTGACCAGATCACACCTGCTAAAACCAAAATAAGCAGTAAGCCATAAAGCCCCAAACCAGAAGAGATTAGATACCAGGTTTAAAGAAAGAAGCAAAGTCTTCTTACTCACCCCATGGGGGAAAGGGAAGCTTCAATTTCTATACCTACATTTTCATTCCTGTTTAATGGCTTTAATGGCAAAGTAAATTATTTTTTCAGCAATAACTTATTTGGACCCAGCAGAAGTCTTAAAATATCTTACTCAATTGTCACAGAAATCCTGAGTTAGGCATGTGATACCAAGCCCATTATAAAGCTGAGAAAATCAAATCCCAAATGATTAAATAACTCACTACAAGATCATTCATTACAGTAAGAACACAGAAAAGCTGGTACTAGAGTCCAAGCTTTGTGATACTGGCTTACTGCTTTTGTCTCACTATTCCACCCTGCCTCTGGATTATCACTAGCAAAATTAAAACACAAAACTTAAGAGTAAGGGCGGGCAGCTGAAAGAGCAAAGATACAATGATAATCTTCATTGTAGATTCTAGTTCTAAGAGTCCACATTCAGTGCATCTATGATAGATCTGCTGTTCTTTTCAACAGCAGCCTAGAAAATGTGTTCCCAAGTCCACACTTGGCAATTCAAAATTCTTATGCTAATTTAACCCATCTTTTCTACTGCTCTCCCAAACTTTCAGCTTCCAACTATGTTACTGCGATGCCACATACAGCATGTTTATTAATATCCAATGCTGTGTGCTCAGACTATCACCTTCCTACCCACACCTGTCCTAATTTTTGTTGTTGTTGTTTTCTCCAGGCAAACTGACTTAATGACTCCAGCCCACAGATTTCAGCCTCCTATTCCCTATGAAATCACATTTCACATTTCATTATACGTGCTCTTATTTCTCTGCGGAAGTCAATATAAAGTATTGGTTAAAACCACAAACCCTGGAGCCAGATGCCCTTCTCTACCACTTATGTGTCCTTTGGGAGATTACTTAACTTCCCCAGGCCTCGGTTTCCCCATCAATAAAGAGAAAACCATAGCACAGTCTGTACCTCACAGTAATATTATGATAAAATGAGTTAATACAAAAAAAGTGCTTTGACCAATGCACAACACATAAATAATACTCCAATGTTAGCTATTACCGTCATTTCTTCCAGTATCATGGTTTTATCTCCTCAGAACTATTAACTATCCCACAATGCTAGACACATCATTGTTTTATTTTTAAGTTATATTTTAATGATATGCTCTTAAGTCTTTCTAAAAAAAAGTTCAATTTATTAGATATTCTCTAACTTATTTTATAATGCAAACAGTATATGCTACAATTTTATTTCTAAAATATAGAAAACATAACAATGCTAATCATAGGGGATGTTACAGAGGTGAGTATCTGCTCCATCAAATCTGGAATCTGTACTGATCCAACTGTTCCATTTAATCAAACACCATTAAGAGTTCCTTCTGACTTTAACAGCCAATTTCCCAGAGAAAGAGCAAGCGCCTGCTAAAAGATCTTAATAATCCACAGGGCCTGGAGAGTACTGCCTTTTTTCTTTTCTTTTTTAAGTTAAAAAAGGCTTTTCCTCTTAAGAGAAATCAATGAAAAGCCTCTTGAACACAGCAAGATCAGGTTAATTTTAGCTACAATGTAAATCCCTACAGAATTTAGAATGCCAACAATAGTGTCAGTTTTCTCATTCACTGGATTTTTCCCTGTTTTTTCAGGACTACAGTAATCTGTGCAACATTACTAACTCTTCACCAGTATTACATTTTATGTAACATAATTAACAAATCATAAAATCATTGTCATATTACAGCTGCTATTATTAGTCCTGAAAAGAAATTCTAAACATGAAGAACTTAATTATATTATGACCAAGAAGACCAATTTCACATTTCTAAAACCATGTTTTTTGAGTAGCTTGAGGATATAACCAAGTTTTTAAGTAAAAAAGTAAAGGGAAAAAAATCTACAACCAGATTAAAGGGGATGTTGTTCAAAGATCCTCAATTTTCAACAACTCTAAAAGGATGGGAACAGTCACGGAAATAGTTATTGATCGGAGTTCACATTTTATACAGTCAGCAAACTATACTGATGCCAAGAAGCTAAGTAAAATAGAATATAAGTGAATTATTTTTCCTTACCTAGTGAAATGAAAAATAATTCACTTATATTAATTTTTAATTAAGCATTTTATTTTGAGATTATTGTATATTCACATGCAGTTGTAAGAAGCAATACCAAAATTTCTCCTGAACCCTTCCTTCCTTTATCCAGTGCCCCTCAATGCTAACTGCTTGCAAGACTATAGCACAGTATCACAACCAAGGTACTGATATTGATACACAATAATGTCTTGTTATCTCCCAGGACAGAGAACATTTCCATCATTACAAAGATCCCTCATGTTCCCCTTTTAAGAGCCATATTAACTTTCCTCACCTCCTCCCCACGTAAATTCCTGGCAACTACTAATCTGTTCTCAATGCCTATAATTAAGTCATTTCAAGAATGTTGTATAAAAGGAATCATACAATATATAACTTCTGGGATTCACTTTTTCACTCCGTATAATTCTCTGGAGATTCATCCAGGCTGTTATGAGTCCTTGTTACTAACCAACAGGTATTACATTGTATGGATATATTACAGTTTTAACCTTTCACATGTTGAAGGACATCTGGGTTGTTTCCAATTTGGAGCTTTTATTAATAAAGATGCGACAAACACTGGCGTACAGGTTTCTGTGTGAATATACATTTTCATAGAGGATAAATGCCCAGGAATGTAGTTGCTGGGTTGCACGGTGGTTGCTTGTTTAGATTTTTTTAAGAAACAGCCCGTTTTCTATAGTGACTATACCATTTTACAATCCCACTAGCAACACATTTACTGATCCAGTTTCGCCATGCCTTCTCCAGCATTTGATGTTGCCACTGTTTATTTCAGCCACCTAGACAGGTACGTAATAACAACTGACGATAATTTTAATTTGCATGTCCCTAATGCGCCAGTAATATTGAACATCTTTTAGTATGCAGATTTGCCTTATGTACTTGTCTCTTCATGTCTTTTTGCATTTTCTAACTGGACTATTTAGGTTTTAACTACTGAGCTTTGAGAAATCTTTACATATTTTAGATACTAGCTCTTCATCAGATACAGGGTTTACAAATACTTTCTTCCACTTTAGCTTTTCTTTTCATCCTCTCAAAGGGCGTTTTTACAGAGCACAAGTTTTTAAGTTTGATAATCAATTTATCAACTTTTCCTCTTTCGGTTTCAGGTCTAAGTCTTAACTCAGTCCTAGATCATGAAGATTGTCATATATATATTCATATGCATATAAAACTTTTTTGGCAAAGGTTTTATAGTTTTATAGTCTAACAAGTCTTAACTCAATCCAGATCATGAAGATTTTCATATATATATTTCATACACACACACACATATATATAAATATATATAAGTTTTTTGGCAGACATTTTATAGTTTTATAGTTTTACATTCAAAGCCTGTGATTCATTTTGAGTCTATTTTTGTAGAAGGTGTGAGACTTAGGTCAAAGTATATTTTTTTGACTATGGTTATTCAATGACTCCACTACCGATGGTTGAAAGGATATATGAAGTTTCAGCATATGAGACCTGCACACGTTTTGTAAGATTTAGAAATCTTACAGGTATTTTTTGAGTAATTATAAATGGTATTATATTTTCAATTTTGTTGCCCACAGGTTCATCATTAATATATAGAAGTACAAATGATTTTTATATGTTTATCTTGTAATCCTGTGACCTCGCTAATGCTAAACTCACTTATTAGTTCTAGACTTGCTGGGGTTTTTTGTTGGTGGCATGTTTGTAGATTCCCTGGAATTTTATCTGCAAATAGGGACACCTGTTTCTTTCTTTCTGATCTGCATGCCTTTTATTTCTTTTTCTTGCTTACTACACTGGCTAGACCTTCAACATTACACTGAATAAGAATGGTAAAAGCACACATCCTTGCCTTGATCCCAATCTTAGTGGGAAAGTAATTCAATCTTTCATTATTCGGTGTAATGTTAGGTGTAGGTTTCTGTAGATGTTCTTTACCATGTTGAGGAAATTCCCCCATTAGTATTTTTCACAGAGTTCTTATCATTAATAGATATTAATTTGAGGGCTCAAGTTTGTCACGATTTGCAAAGAGAATTCATGAATACGTATTGCTTTGAAATAGTTTTCATCTGTTTGTTTCTGTTAAGTCTGAAGTTTGTGAATACAGAAAAATTACTCACTACATCAAATCTGAATAAAAGTACATTCCTGTTTATTATACAACATATGCCTTACGCAAACAGTTTCAAGTCTTATTTTTTCAGGAAGCAATCCAAAACAAGATCATTTGGGCAACATGTCAAACAGTCTGATACTCTGTGTTAAATCAATTCAACAAAACTTACATACACTGTATATTTATATATATAGTAAGTACTCCTTTGCAATTCCATGCTTTTAAAAGTTCACTTATTTTAATTTCAGAGAAAATTGTGATATACTGCACTGTTTTGGACATGTGAAAACAATGCAATTTGACCCTGTCAATGAAAATATGAGAGACTTTCCTATCCTGGGATGTTTCCGCTGCTACCTTGAAAATCACAGCTTAGTTCAGTGAAAAAACAGTCATTTCCCATCAACTACCTCAAACAAAATCCTATCTCTAGTCACTACTTATCTAATGTTTAAAAACTGTAGTGGCACTAACAAGGATCCACGGTTGAAACACTAATCAAACTTAAGTTTAATTTAAATGGACTACAGCATCAAAATTTAAGTCTAATTATTTCAAACCACAAGAGACTGTCAAAGAGAAGATAAAGGAGAGAAGAATACACCCAAAGTATTAATTTTTATCCTAAGATTATATTCATTTTATTTGTTAATAATGGCAAGAAATAGAAAAAGTAGTTAAAATAGGTAAGCTGAAATAGTTAATATCCAAATGCTAAAAAAGCAGAAAAATAATTATGGTAATATTTTTTAAAGGTTTAATACTCACTAATACAATTCATGAAAGAAGGCAAAAAACAATAATGCGCTACAGGGCTATGGAAAAGTTGTAGGCTCTTGCCTTTATAGGACCAGTCCCCTCTGCATCCTCCTTTCAGTAAAGAGACTCCACCTCTGACATTAGTAGCCAGGCACACTTGCTTCCCAAATGACAGAGCATAATAAAATACTTTTTAAAGCAAGTGTACCAAAATTTGCAAACTGCTGGCATAGCTGGAGAAAACTTAGTATCTATGTTAGTTATTTCTGCTTCAAAAATAAATGAAATAGGGATGCCTAGCTGGCTCAGTCGGTACAGCGTGCAACTCTGGATCTCAGGGCTGTGAGTTTGAGCCCCATGTTGGGTATGGGGAAGGGAAGAAGGGAGGGAGGGAGGGAGGCAGACAGACACACACACACATGCGCACTTGCGCACCTGAGTGGCTCAGTCGGTTAAGTGTCTGCCTTCTACTCACATCATGATCCCAGGGTCTTGGGATCAAGCCCCACATTGGGCTCCCTGTTTCTCCCTCTCCCTTTGCCTGCCATTCCCCCTGCTTGTGCTCTCTCTGTCAAATAAATAAATAAAATCTTAAAAAAAAAAAAAGGGAAGGAAGGGAGGGAGGGAAGGGACTTACATCTGCTTAATCTAAGGGAAAATAAAAAAGAGTAAGAAAACAGAAATCAAAAGCAAAAATAAAACTGACCAGAACAGAAACAAAAATTAGAAGTTAATCTCACCTAAACACATTTAAAAAGAAAAAGTTAACACTAATAAAAAGGTTTTATCATCTATGACTTCATAGGACTTATTCTAGAAATGCAGGACTGTTCTTAATTACATTAGACATATTTGGGACGTGAATACACCAATGTATTAAACTTGTGTTACAAACCCACTCAGGAAAATGGACAGTTCAAGATTCCTCAATTTCCAATACAGTAACAAGACAAGTAATGGGGATTAAAAAAACTGACTCTTATTTCTATATTTCAATGCTAAAAAAAGTTTTTTAAACTAACTTCTTTTTAAAATAATCAGAAGCCTTTTTTCAAAGCAGCAAAAGTTTTATGGTCAGTGCTTTGTCTTAGAATCTAAAAATTTAAGACTTCAGACTTAAATAAGCACAAATATCAATTGAAAATAGGCCTACATTTTAATTTATTGTCTTAGAAATAACTTATTTTCAATATTTCTACAAAAAAATTCTCAAGTAGTATATCTAAATACATGATCAAATCTAGTCAAGAGGATTCAGTGTTAATTAGCAATCTCAAAAAAAAAAAAAAGCTCCTCCTCACAATTGCAAAATTTCTAATGCCTTATAACCAGATTCCGCCAAAAGGAAAGGAAAAGGCACAAAGAAATATGAAAAACACATGTCTACTCCTCAATAGAAGGAAATTGTCATGGGAATAGTGGAACTGACCATCAGAAAGTGCCTCTAAGTCCAAAGGGGAGATACAATTCACAAGGAAAACGATTACAAGTATCTCATTTTAAAAAAAAGAAAAAAAAACCTGTAATAGTGAACTCAAATGAGAAGCTATTGAAAGACGATTACTTAAAGTAATTAGCAAATAGATACTACCATAGTTCAGCTTCATTTTTTTTTTTTTAAGATTTTTATTTATTTATTTGACAGAGAGAGACACAGCGAGAGAGGGAACACAAGCAGGGGGAGTGGGAGAGGGAGAAGCAGGCTTCCCGCAGAGCAGGGAGCCCGACGCGGAGCTCGATCCCAGGACCCTGGGATCATGACCTGAACAGAAGGCAGACGCTTAACGACTGAGCCACCCAGGCGCCCCGTTCAGCTTCATTATTAAAAAGCTTGTATTAACTTTCTAGTCTTCCAACAACTTCTAAGACTTCACAGAACCAAAATAAGAATACTAAAGTGGAATCTTCCACATTCCATTTTTTTACAGAGAGAGATGTAAATGACAAAACAAAGGAAGAGGAAGGGAAGGAATAAAACCCTATCTGTACCAACACCCCCATTTCTTTTTTAAGTACAGGATGATTCCTAATCATTAAAGGGATAGTAAAAATAATTCGATTTAAGACTACTTCATCTGTCAATCTTCAACCCATCTGATCAAATTCACCTTTCACCATACTAAAAAGTATTTCAAAAATACAAAGCCCACAGGGGCACCTGGGTGGCTCAGTCAGTCAAACATCTGCCTTTGGCTCAGGTCACAATCCCAGGGTCCTAGGATGCAGCCCCACGTAGGGCTCCCCGCTCAGTGGCAAGTCTGTTTGTCTCCCTCTCCCTTGGCCCTTCCCCTCTGGCTCCTGCTTTGCTCTCTCTCAAGCACTGTCTCTCTCTCTCAAATAAATAAATAAAATCTTAAAGATATATACACACACATCCCACAAAGTAAAAAAAATTTGGCAAAACTGCACAAAGACAAAAATTTACATGTCTTACAGAATATAAAAGTTGGTTAAAAAAAACAAAGGAATGTTAAAGTATGACTGGGAATGTAATAAGCTAGAACCATTCTATTTTTTTAATTAATTTACTCATAAATACAGATAAAACTCAGGACTTCCCAAGATGACATCATCAATTATTTTGAAAACCTACCTTGTTCCAGATACGTAGCAATTATACATAAAGAGAAATTTAAAAGGTATGGCTAAAAAAAAGTTTTTTAATTAAAAAACAAAAGGCATGGCCACACTTAAAAAAAAAACAAGAACAACAAACATCTCCACAAAACAGAAACATACAACAGTAAAGAGGGGCTGAAGCTGTGAGCCTGCTGGAGTGCTTTTAGAAGGATACCGGCAGAGGCCTAGATTGCAGATCCTTTGAGAACAGGAATAAAAACAGCCTACCCAGGATGAGAGACTGGAGTCAAAAATCAGGCTGAAAAAGAACTGCTGCTAACAGATGCCCAGGGGTTAAGTAAGCAGTCTGTATGGGAAGCATGGCTTCTGAGTACCCAGAAAAGTGAGAATACACAACCTAACAACTAAGGCCTGAGCACCCTCATCTAGTTGCCTAGCCCACAGAACAAAGATATCATGGGGGGGGCGGGGAGGCAGGTGCCCCAACCTGCTGATCTAAGATCTAGTTTTGTATGGGGGGGCCCCAGTAGGGAGAGCCACTTAAGAACACCTGCAAAACCACCAGATAAGAAGAGAATGTGAGGGTGGGGGAACCTGACAGTCAGGTTGTACCATGACATGTGAAGTAAACTAATAAGAAAGACAATCTACAAATACAGCAACTAAAATATGGTATCCCTCCAAACAAAATAGAATCAGAAAAGTCTGGAAAATGCCTGAAAATAGTATGTTTAATAGTTCCTAAAAGATAAACCTAAGAAAATTTATTAAATTTCTTTTATAAAAGAATAACCCTCATGAAACAAGCAAAAGTGAAACAAAATTAGGTGGAAATGAGAAAATCAATTTAGAATGCAAGAAAATAAATTTTTGAGATTTAAAACAGTAAAGGTGAAAATTCAATAGAAGGGATAAAGTATAAACTAGAAAAACTGAAAAGGAATCAAAGAACGAGAAGATGATAATGAAGACTTTAACTAGGATGTGGCAGAGATAAAGAATTTTTAAAAATACATACTATAAAGGACAGATAAGGAGTTTCCAAGATGTGTTTAACAGCAGTTTCAGAACAAGCATAGAAGCAATGGCAAGAGATTAACCTTATATCAGAAAAGAGAAGGTTTACACTGAATCACCTAATACCCAGATAGATGAACAGTGTAAGAAATTTACACAAAGGGAACATCCTAAACTAATGTATAATCTAACTTTCAAGTGGCAAGGAAAAAAAATACTAACTAATTTAACCTAATTTTTAAATTATATTTTGAATAGTTTTTTTAATTTGTACAGTTCACATGCTACCCAAGAACACCACAGTGGTCTTCTGGGTGGTTCCACAGAGTAAAACCGAAACAGAGGGCCAATAAATAAGGTGCAATTAACAAAAAAGTCTGACTGGCCCAGTCTTCAGCTGCAACTCAATAGTCCTTGAAATTCAGTTTCTATACCCAGAGAAATGAAACATGAGATGAGAGTGCTTTTCCTTTTAAAACTGTGGTAATAAAACTTGGGATTGGGGTAAAAGAGTAATAGAACAGTAGATTACAGAACTGAGTTAACATGATTCCCAACAAAGAAAAAAATTTCTTGTTAAATTAAATCACATATATAAACAAAAAAACCTAGTGCTATAACAAATTATTCAGTCAAAAATACCTATTAATTTTTCCCTCTAAATTTAAAATAAGTAATCAGAGGGGCGCCTGGGTGGCTCAGTCATTAAGCGTCTGCCTTCGGCTCAGGTCATCATCCCAGGGTCCTGGGATCCGGCCCTGCATAGGGCTCCCTGCTCGATGGGAAGCCTGCTTCTCCCTCTCACACTCCCCTTGCTTGTGTTCCCTCTCTCACTCTCTGTCAAATAAATAAATAAAATCTGTAAAAAAATAAAATAAGTAATCAGAAAATAATGCTGGCTATAGAAGCTACACTTAAACTCTCAAGTTCTAAGTCTCATTTTGGCAGTTCTAGTATCTATATGGCTAAAGAACTGACGGTTTTTAGTTTTTGTTTTTTAAGATTTGCTTATTTTAGAGGGGAGTGGAGGGGCAGAGGGAGAGAGAATCCTCAAGCAGACTCCCCTCTGAGCACTGAGCCTGAGGCGGTGCTCCATCTCAGGACCCTGAGATCAGGACCTGAGCCTAAACCAAGAGTCGGACTCTCAACTGACTGCGCCAGCCAGGCGCCTTGATGGTTTTATCTGGACTGGTCAAGATATACATACAACTGGTTCAAGTTTTAGGTGTTGTGGCAGGAATACTAGATTAATAAAAGCGCATAAATTTTTGTTTATGCAGACCTGACAGCTATCTTAATCATTTATTTCGATGGGAACACGTATCTTTAGAAATCTTTCAATGGTACATAATAGTTTAAAAAATAACCATACAAATCTGAAACACAAACTGTAGATAGAACATCAGTCAGTATCCCTGCAAGAAAAAGTATATTCTTTGCTGGTGATAAACAGCATATTGACTCTACTTTAGTCCAATCTCCACCCAGGTGATCCATAAATTCACACTGAGCTCTAGGGGATGACAAGACAGCCAAAGACATGCAGCCTAACTGCAAAAAGGGAACTGTGTACGTAGCAGAGGGCCTGGCCTCATGAACTAGCACAGCTCAGGCAGCATCCATCTGACAGGAGAGAAACACACCACGTGCTTTTTCAGTTATCTGTAAATGTCAGTAGGCTTTTGGCTGGCTGCCATAAGAAACTCTTATCTCTGTTCTCTGCTTTATCTCTTTGTCCATTCTTTAGTCATTTAGCACAACCACTACTCTATTTGCATCAGTAAGATGTTCTTCTGGGACAAAAATGGGAGCTCCTAACTGCTTCAAAAGCAGTTATTCACCAGCTGCTAGCTAAAATCATAAAAATCAGAAAGCAATACTTTGATTTTTTAATCAAAGGAGCATAACTTTTCAAATTGGCATTTACCATCCAGCAATCCATCCTCTTTTATAAAAAGCAAAAAAACACCAGAAAATTAACACGTTCACATAAATGCAATTGCTTTGATAGAAAATCTTTACATAAGAGAACACTTACTTAAAAAATGCCTATGAAATCACACACTCATTAACAATGAGAAATACCATCAATAGTGTTTTATCTTGTTTTGTTTATTTGACAGAGAGAGACACAGCGAGAGGGAACACAAGCAGGGGGAGTGGGAGAGGGAGAAGCAGGCTTCCCGCAGAGCAGGGAGCCCGATGTGGGGCTCGATCCCAGGACCCTGGGATCATGACCTGAGCCGAAGGCAGACACTTAACGACTGAGCCAGCCACGTGCCCCACCATCAATAAATAGTGTTTATTTAAGTACGGCAGATAACCAAAACATGAGTTGTTAAGGGTTACTTTTCTTCCACACACCAACAATCCAATAACGTTTTAATGAATGTTAAAAAAAAAAAAAAGTGCTAAAGAAGTGAAATGTAAAAAAAATAAAATAAAATAAAATTTTTTTTAAAGCATTTCATCTTTTCTTCTACTTAGGTACGAAATGTACTGTCAATCTTCTATCACAGCCTGGCCTCAATCTGTCCTTTCCTCCTTCCTGACATAAAATTCTATGTTCAAATTACCCAAGAGTATTCAACATATCCTGTGCATGTCATATACTCAAAAACAAAAATCATTTCTCTTATGTTATGCTGTCTGCTTTGCATAGCTTTTCCTTCCTCCCCTCCTAGTGAAATCCTAGTCTTCTTTAAAGGCAGTAAGTCCCACCTACTTTTGCAAAGTTACCATCAATAACCAAACAGAACAAACTGCTTTCACTCCTATGACACCATGTAGAAGTTTGGGCCTGCCTCTGCACACCGAGACTTGTCTGACAACCTTACTCATGGAGTTGAGGGCACAGAGTGTTTCAACTGGAAAACATCCTGAATATTAGTTATCATTGCCATAACTTAAGTTGATAGTTAACCTCTTTCTTGTGTCAATCATCCTGCTTCCAATACCTCCTCTAGACTAAGAGCTCCTTCAAGGCAGGGCCTCAAGAAATGCCTCTTACAATCAGAGCTCTTACCACTTAGAGCTCACAGCTCTCCACATAATAAGCATGCAAAAACTGCCTGATGAATAATAAAAACTGAATGCATGAACATGCTTTAAGAAAATCAGTAAAATGAATTACAGCTATAGCTTTGGATAAAGACACAGATTTTAAAGAACATAAGACATTAAGAGTACAATTACACGGGCACCTGGGTGGCTCAGTTGGTTAAGCGACTGCCTTCAGCTCAGGTCATGATCCCAGGGTCCTGGGATCGAGTCCCGCATCGGGCTCCCTGCTCTGCGGGGAGCCTGCTTCTCCCTCTCCCACTCCCCCTGCTTGTGTTCCCTCTCTCGCTGTGTCTCTCTCTGTCAAATAAATAAATAAAATCTTTAAAAAAAAAAAAAAAGAGTACAATTACACAAAGTTAGTGTCTCCTACTTACCACCCTTTAGAGGTCCTAATTCCCACCCTCCCTGCCGCTAGGAAGCACCAAAATTTAAGTATCTACAGCTTGATACACTGGCTTGGACCTGTAAAGTAGATAAGTTACTCTCTGATCCATTCAGAGAAGTCATCATCTACTGTCTGCTATTCTTCCTCTCTGCTCTGAGCATCCAAAACCATCCATCTCCAGGATTCGCTTCCCTCTCCAATCCCCTCTGTCCTCTCATCTCTTCCATCTTCTCTCCTATATCAGCTTTTACATGGGAGGGCTGACCCATTTTATACAACATTAGCCACAAAAACAGGTTTTATCCTCTAAGTAAAGCAAATGCTGATTTTTTTTTTTTTGGTAAGATTTTATTTATTTATTTGATAGAGAGAGCGAGAGAGCACAAGCAGGGGGAGTGGCAGAGGGAGAAGCAGGCTTCCCACTGAGCAGGGAGCTCAGGACCCTGGGATCATGATCTGAGCCGAGGGCAGATGCTTAAGGACTGAGCCACTCAGGTGCCCTGCAAATGTTGATTTTTAATAGAGTTCACAAACATAATCTCAGCCATTTCTACCTAAGAAAGTTGAGAAAAGACTTCACATAAAAGTGCTACAGGTTTCATGCACTTTATGTCAAACAGCTTCCTCTAACAATATCCTCATCTACAGAACACACTAAGTCCTTACTTAGAAGTACTAAATTTTAAACTGTGCTGCCCTTGAGGCTTACAGAAGCTGATCCTCTCACTTGTAAACACTACCTATCAAAAAATACTTTCATCAAATGCCTAAATTTCTACTTTCAGTAAGCGTGTAAAAGCATTAGCACTGATTGCCCTAAAGCACTTAGAGGAAAATAGCTCCCATTTGGCTAAACAGTCATCAAATTTTAAGACTGGAACTTCATACTTATTGACCACTATTTTTTTTTTTTAATTCAAACCTGTAACAGGAAAATCCTGTTGGTCCAGTATCAAATCCTACCCTTGTCCACATCCTCCAAAATAAGGAAATACATCTGCCCTAACATCATACTTCAACATTTAAGAAGCTTATCACCTAAAACGAGTATCTTTATATATTAAAAGGAGTATTAGAAAGAGGCATCAATTAGAGGAGAAAATTATTTTCCTGAGAAAGTTCAAGGCTACATGAGCATTTTCCATCCCAGACTGTGTTTTCTAGGTAATATTTAAATCAGCAGAAAGCCAAAATACTTTGTTATGGCTCAAATAAAAGAGAAAAAAACATTCTGAGCAGCCTAAAGAACCATATGTGATTAAATGCATTTACCAACATAAGATTTGTTTGATAAAGTGACACAATCCTCTTGCCTTTTTTAAGTGTCTCATTTCCTTCTGAGACCAGGAAAGAAAGCAATGGCCACCACATGGCAGCCACTCAACATTTCCAAAGCACTTTTGTACTTCTGACAATGTTAACAATTTAATATATTTTAGCCACCTTTCTCATCACACATTGACTGTATAAATGATGCTAAACCAAGACATCAGTTATATTCACAATAAATTATCACACTTACTAGTAAAACACCATTTGGAGTTCAGATAATTTAAAACATGAAGAGAAAAGGTGAAGAAAAATAATCTTGCTTATCAGGTCTAAATTGTAAAACTCTTGGGAATTCATTCAACTAGTAATTGTTCAGCTACTGCTGAATTATTTAGCAGGTATGGTATTAATAGTGCTAAGTGTATGTATGGAGACTGTCCTCAACAAGCCAACAGCCCACTGGGAAGGAAAGAAACACAGCAAGCAAACAGTTCTGGCAGGTAAAACCTATGATAACGCAACTGATACTTACTAAGCACACTTCAAACACAGTACCCTCACCGAACCTCCATTTTCTATCAATGAATTTGAATTGGTTTAATGATTAAAGAAAATTGATAAAATCAGCACTAGTCGGCAAGTTATGTTTTTTAAATAAAGGGCTGGAGGTAGAGAATATAATAAAAGTTCTTGTCACATAATAGATATGACAGCTATTGTTGTTGTTATAATTTCAAGGGGTGGGCTGCTCGTAAATGGACACGCCCTCGGAGTTTAAAATAGAAATCCAATTTGAAGAGAAGAGGTTACAAAAGGACAGCCAACCTCAAGATTCTCTAGTAAATACACAGCTAGCCTCGAAACCGCTAGCAAGACTCCACACTGCAAGAGAACCAACCATGCAAAGACTACTAGGTCAACTAAACAAAACAGTGCACACCCGCTGGTTTGATAAACAAGCCCCCCAGGCTTGTCACAGGAGAGCGTCTGCCTCTACCTAAGTCTCCATGTTCTCTAAAGTACTTTATCCCAAACTGATTTAGGTTAAAATTATCATTTAGAAACCTCATACACAAAAACCAATAAGGAAAGAACCTCTACATGATGAAATCTAATAAGCATATTTTTAGCTTTTTTTTTTTATTTTAATGCCATTTATCTATCCTATAAACTGGTCATCCAATGTATCCAAATAAGGGCTGGGATAGTAAATCAAGAAACCCTGAAATGGATATGTTTCCCTCCCTGAAAAAACTATTAAGGAAGAGGAAAAAGAATAAAAATAGACAATACAACAGAAAAATAAAAATGACACATATGCAGATCAACATCATAAAATACTTTACTTTTTAAATAGTGACTCAAACATTCTATAAATCTAAAATCTGTGCATAGGGGCACCTGGGTGGCTCAGCTGGTGAAGCGGCTGCCTTTGGTTCAGGTCATGATCCCAGGGTCCTGGGATGGAGCCCCACATAGGGCTTCTTACTCCGCAGGGAGCCCGCTTCTCCCTCAGCCTCTGCCTGCCACTCCCCCTGCTTGTGCTCTCTCTCTCACTATCCACCTCTGTGTGTCAATAACTAAAATCTTTAATAAATAAATAAATAAAATAAAAAATCAAATCAAATCTGTGCATAAAGAAGGTAACTTTGGTTCAGTCACCAGCATTATTAACATACTTAGGAACACATGTGAAGCACAAAACATCAACCAGGGTAATGGACTTCAGGGGGTCTGCCCCCAGAGAGCTCCATCTCCCTGCAAGTGAACACAGTGTTTCAGGAACATGTGCACAGGTGCTTTTTCTAGGGAGACCATCCAAAGCTTTCTGCTAAAGAAGTTAAGAACCACTCACTTCAGATTAAGTTTCTAACATTCCTAATGTTACCTTTCCTTGAAAATGAAAAATACAACAAGAAAATAAGTTATCAGAATTATGTTAATAAGGTTAAAACAAATCATCAAAACTCTGTGTAAATGTTTTTACAGCATAAAAGAAATAAGGTTTATTCTATCTGCAGGCTGTAAATTTGAAAATTTTAAGTTTTAGGGAACTAAACTAGCTTTACAAAACAGATGTTGCTGCCTGTGCCATTTAATCAATTCAAGTCACATTCCTAGAAGACAATATAGCCATCTGATGAGTTCAGCGTCAATGGAATGAGCCAAATCCACACAACAGCATTTTACAAAAATAATCAGTGGTTTAAAGCAGGGCATGTGCAAAATTCCTGAAATAACACATACATAATTCACTGCCAAACTCAGATCAATTCAAAATCTGCAGAGGCAAGAAGCATTATTATGGCTCTGAAATCCATATTCAGTAAGGCTGTGTTCAAAAAGTTTCATTTCAATTTCAAGAAAATAAATGAGTAGAGAAGCTCACTCAATAATGATTTTGGCAGATATCAGTTCCTTCGTTCAAAGCAGAATCATTTTACACAGCTCAAGATTTCTTAAAAGATAAAGAAAAACACCAATTTACAGGCCCTAAGTCTTGAATTTAAGGATGAGATGCCCTCTACTTGAGAAATATAACACTGTATCTTCTCAAATATTGTAGCTATAGGTAAAAGAGCACAATGGAAAAGGGAAAAAGCACAGCCTTATTAGAGATCAGCTTGTAATTCTGGATCTGCCACTAACTGTATGACTCTGAGCAAGTAACTTCCCCTCTCTGTGCCTTGGTTTACTCATTTCTAAACAGCCCAAGGCCATGATGCATAAGGAACCCCTAGATTTCCCCAAAAGCCACCAACCCTGACCACCCACAGCCTCCTGAGGTCTTCGTTACAAGCATCTTGCCACAGATTCACTCACGTCCTCCTCAATAAGGCAATTTTAGTGCTTAAGAAAAATTCAAGTTCCTTCTCACAAAAGGCCTGGGAGTAAATGGAAAGCTAGAAGATTTCCTCAAAGTATATGAACATCTTGCAAAAGGATGAAGGAAAGAGAAATTACAAGTTTTACAAAAGCATTGCTGTCCTTGCAAGGACCCACTACTAAGTACCTGGAAACCAGAGGAATGGGCTTTGCTTAAACTCTTCCAACTTATCTCACGACTGTTTTCCACAGACATCTACAGAGCCCTTTAGCTGAGTCTACTCACCTGCCAAAGGGGGTGGGGGTGAGGCCTGGGGAGGGCTGGACTAAACTCAGCGGCTCCAAAGCACACCCCACGGAACTCTTGGGCTCTGCGGGGGCGCCTCACAGCTGCCAGGACAAACGTCTCCACACCATCTTTAAGCACAAAGAGCAGCAGTTTTATTGTTTTATGTTTGCTTTGGTTTTCCATGTCAGTTAAAACCACATGTTAAAAAAAGAGACAACAGGCCTAAAATGGAGTCACTTGTGCTGAGCCCAAATCAGCAATACTTCAGCCTCTCCCAGGAATGTAATCCTAACCAGTCAGTCTGGGATTACCGGTTGCCGCAAATGAGGTATTCTGCCCGGCAGACCCCTGCCATCCACCAGAGAAAGGTGACCTAGCCTGAAACAATCAGCTCTCTGCTGGAATAACTGCCTTCTCTCACCTGCTGCTATAAAGTCTTCCATTCTGTACAGCTCTTCAGAGCTCCTTTCTATCTGCTAGATGGGATGCTACCCGAATTCATGACTCACTGAAAAAACCAATGAGATCTTTAAAATTGACTCAGTTGAAGTCTGTTTTTAACAGGTTCATGTAAGATTTGGTTTTGCAAGTAGGTTCTGCTTGTTTGCAAGTGATGTGCAAAATAAATAGTCCTTAAAGACTATCGTTTGAAATGGAGTTTAACAGTAAAGTGAAATTTGTTTTACAGAAACTTGCTTTGCAGTAGATAAACTAATAGGCTACATCTATTTAATACTGCAAGAGATACCTGGTATTACTCGTCATCATGGTGTACTGCTACCTGTAAAAGTTAATTAAAAGTTCAACATAATTCAAAGAGTGGGTAAAATAAAGAGGAATTTCTTTGTGAAATGTTAAGACTTTTATTAAAACTCATTAATTCTTTCAATCAGAACTGAGAAAAATGAGTTAAAAACGCCAAAGACTTAATAGCCTGGCATTATAACTAGTAGGACCACACTAAACTGCAAATCCTTATAGCATAGGAATCTCCAAAACAACACAAACAAGGATGGATGGATGGATGGATGATTAAATGGTTAAGTCCCAATAACCACAGAATAAAGACATTTAGCATTATGGTACATAACATTTAACACCAAACTTTGAAAGAAACTTTGTAACTTGAAAATTATAGACATATTAAAGTATTTGACAACAAAAGGTAAAAGGGAGGTGAGGAGGAAAAAGACAAAATCTTATGAACACAATTTAATTTTATTCCACCAAAAGAATTCCTAATTGACAGAATTCATTCAACAAAGTATAAAATAAACACTGTAAACTTCAAAATTCCTCTATATCAAGAAGAATTTTCAATCATACAGCTGAAGGATTAAATATACACAACTATCGTTTTCAAATGTAGTACTAACATTTATCTACATATACTCAAAGACAAAAGGTCAGAAATTCACTCTACTTTTTTTTTTTTTTTTTTTAAGGATCTTATTTATTTGACAGAGAGAGAGACAGCGAGAGAGGGAACACAAGCAGGGGGAGTGGGAGAGGCAGAAGCAGGCTCCCTGAGGAGCAGAGAGCCCGATGTGGGGCTGGATCCCAGGACCCTGGGATCATGACCTGAGCTGAAGGCAGATGCTTAACAACTGAGCTACCCAGAGGCCCAGAAATTCACTCTACTTTTAAAGGTGTATAAGAAAACCTAGTAAGCCTTTAGCCCTTCCTTAATAATAGGTCCAAACAATCATGCTCACATTCTTACTTCTATGGAAGAAAATTAATTCACGTTGCTAATGTCCTAATGGTGGTATATGATGGAAGTAGAAAACATGGATAACAGAAGGTTTACACCAACACATGACAACACGTATAGTTGTTTACAAACTGATGACATTTCAAAGTAAGAAAAAGATATAAGAACCCAAAGGAACCAAACATATGTTTTCATATATGCAGGATGTCAGATAATTACACCACTACATTTATCCCCAGAATTAAATGCCCACTGTGAACAAAGGTTAACATCTAAAAGGAAATCATACTAGAAAACTGACAAGAAAGTCAGATACGGAAATACATGCTATTTAATTTCTCTATACCTCTTTTTAAGAACTTTATTTAATATGGTTAGAATCCTAACATCCCTACAACCCTATTATTGGTAAAGTTAGTATTAATTTACAAATAAATTGTTTTAAATTTTTTCAAAGAAAACTGACAGATGAAAGGAAGAATATAGAGAAGATCTTTGGTAGTGATCGATTTGAAGTTTTTAGTTTCAACTATTCAAGATGTAAAGAAAGGGCCACTGCAATGTAATAAGTACAATTTTGCAGAGGCCAGAATGTGAGCTGCTGGTGGTGCACAGGCTGGTAAAAGGGAGCAGTCATTTCACTTGCAAATGAGGCCCACAGGTGGGTTTGCAATTTTTCCATTGTTGTTTATTTTTCTCTACTTGTTGCCAGAGAAACACAGTAACTTTCCTGAAGCTATTGTTGCAAGCGTTTTTTCTTTTATCAGAAATGGACGTAAAAATAAAAAGCAGCCAACTGCTAACAGTGAAGAGGCTTAAGGAATGACTAGTGTTAGCCAAAAGGACAAGGGAGGAAAGTCACTGGGGATCACTCAGACTTATAAATGGAACCAGTGACCATATGCTTAGTGAGAAACAAGAAAAAGCCATCTGCAAAAATATTTTTGGTGAGTGGACCAGCAGGGCAAAAATTTTATTTTATGAAGGAAAATTTTACATAATGGTATTTGCAAAACTGGGACTGTTGGAAGACTTCAAGATGCATCTCTTCCAAATGTCAATAGTATGCCATACCACAACAACCTAGCGATCTGCTTCCAAAAGTCAACCTAACTCCAAAGTTTCTGCATACAAAACAGATCCAGATTTTAGGGATCGCAATCTAGAAATCTGTCTACTTTGAGAGAGAAGAGAACTTACCAAAACCTTACTTACCATAAACCTCCTCGTGATTTAGACCGGTGTCTGAAGAGTCAGGAGCTGCCATATGTAAAATGAATTGCTACGTTTCCTATTATCTTACTACTGCCTAATAAGAACCTCTAAGAACTTTTCCACCTGGGAAAGACCACTGTCTCAGCAGCCACGCTACAAATAGCTCATACCAGTTCTCCCAACAGTCCTTTTTTTCAGTGGAGATGTTCTGACTCCTAAATTATAAACCTTTAACCAATTACCTTGCCTCTAGTATGAGTCTAGGTATTTGAATGCTGCCCTGACTTTTAATATAGAACCTTGCTTGCCTTATTCCCTGTTCTTTATCTTGCTCTCCGTTATGCATCTTCCTTTTTTCTACCCCTACACTTCCTACTTAATTTCAACACACTGTATTCCCTACACCTGGCTCTTGCTCTTCCTCCTAAACTTTACTTGACTTGCATATGGATCCCCGTCTGCCATCTTACTTTCACAGGTAACCCAGCCAGAGTCCAAGATGAATTGGCAGAGGACAAGATGTGATGCCTTTCAGAATATATGAAATGGCTAAGATAAAGGACAGGAATAATTTATCATCACCAGAAAAATCAGCAGTGTTGTTCCTAGAGCTGATCACAGTTGGTACTCACTCACATATACCACTTCTTTACCATCTCTTCTCAGGGCTAGCTGGGATAGTTAGTAAGTGGAAGGGGATAGTTCTTCCCTCCAAACGCACATGCCCTCGTACATTAACCAGTTACACATGTGGTTTGCCTTCTGGGACACATCGGTTCAGTCTCACATTGCTGCCAAAGCTTAATCAGGTCTGAAAAAGCAGTACTGGAGATAGCAAAGGTACCAGTAAAGGAAGAGAGAAGTTGGACTTTACCTTCACCGGTTTGTTCTGGAATTCCAGCCTCACAAGCACTTCAAATGTCAGTTAATGCATATTCCAATAATGCATGGAAAATGAGATGGTACTTCAAAAAGATGTGCTGTAAAAAGTGTTTCCCCAAGTCATTTTTTTCTTCTTTTTTCCCAGTTTCTTTTCACTTAGTGACACTCAGATAGGACTAGGCCTCTTCTCAGTTATTTAGGACCAAAGACATGGGTTTTTATTAGATTCCTTCGTGCCACCCACGAAGGAAGCACAAATGGTCACTCCTACCCACCCCACAAAAGAATCACCTTCTCAACAGATCTGCCAAAACAAAGAAGAGTCTTTTAAGAAGAAGAACTGCTTTGGGGCGCCTGGGTGGCTCAGTCGTTAAGCGTCTGCCTTCGGCTCAGGTCATGATCCCAGGGTCCTGGGATCGAGTCCCACATCAGGCTCCCTGCTCAGCGGGGAGTCTGCTTCTCCCTCTCCCTCTGCCTGCCACTCTGCCTACTTGTGCTCTATCTCTCAGTCAAATAAATAAAATCTTTAAAAAAAAAAAAAAAGAAGAAGAAGAGCTGCTTTTCCTACCCATTCCCACTCTGGCACTCCTTCCTTATTTTCTTCGGCCAGAGGAAGGAGGAAACTCTGGGCTACCAATTCCATTAAGAAGCAAGTGGGTTACAGACATAATTATAAAAACAGGTATGTTTTGATAAATGGCCACCAATCTAATCCATTTGAGATTGACCCCAATTATTTTCCTATCTTGTCCTTTCATAATTCAAATCTATCTTCTGCCATCCTGGAGCCTGAGAAAGCAGTAATACTGCCTGCTTTAAGGAAATATAAGCTTCATCACTGGGATAATCATAACCATACATATTAAATCCCCCCTGAAATATATTTCGTACGTATGTTTTCTTCTTTGAAGCATTTAAAATATACTGCATAGGGGCGCCTGGGTGGCTCAGTTGTTAAGCATCTGCCTTCAGCTCAGGTCATGATCCCAGAGTCCTGGGATCAAGCCCCACATTGGGCTCCCTGCTCAGCAGGAAGCCTGCTTCTCCCTCTCCCACTGCCCCTGCTTGTGTTCCCTCTCTCACTGTGTCTCCTCTGTCAAATAAATAAACAAAAATCTTTTAAAAATAAAAATAAAATATACTGCATAACTTAAAAACTTGGGTTTTTTGTTTCTTGGTTTTTGGGGTTTTTTTGGTTACAGAAAGAAAACATGAAACTTAAAGCAGCAATGGTAAGCTGGAGAAAATTAAGAAAGCTACCAACCTTTAGAGGATTACCTTCAGCAGATTTAGCCATATTAGGTATTATCATATTTC